GGGCTAATTTTTTACCCACTTAACTTATTGGGCCAATTTTACCCTTAGATACAATCATTTATGCATTTGTGTTGTGTTTATAAAATATTATATAAAATTAATAATTTAATCGAATTAGTGAGAATAACTTTTTAATTTCGAAATCTTTCGAACAACTCAATTTTCATCGTTATGAACTTTGGTTGGATCCTACATCTATTATCTGATTATTCATTTATGAAATATATAATAATATCGAGTAAGATCGGACTAAGAGTATATTTATATTTCAAATTTTTGGCGAGTTTAAAATATATACAATAATATTATTTTTGAAATGTATCGAGGTTGAATAAAATATGTAATATTTTAGGTTAAAATCGGGAATGAACTTCAATATATAAAGATTTGGGGGTGGAACCACCCTATCTTATGTATTTTAGGCTTAAGTATAAAATAGGTGTTTACAGTATTTTTCGGCACATCCAGATGGTTAACGTTACAAGCGATATTCATTTAGGTATCCGGAACATCAACGACGTTAATTTCTCTGTTAAGTGACATATGCAGTGATTTTGAAATTTATTTTTTAAAATATTAAAAATATTATTATTTTTATAAAAAATATAATTTCTCTTAAATTATAAATAGCCCCCAAATTCCCAAAATCTCTAAATCATACCCTTAATCCATCACCGTCGCCATTTCCGATCACGACCACCACCGCAAGCGTAGTCCTTGCCATCCTCATAGTCATATGCCGCCCTATTTGCTGCCGATTGGTCGTAGGAATCGCGTGGGATCGTGATTTTTAACATAGGGTTTGAGGGTATAAAACATTGATTTGTTGTCGATTGGTCACGATTTCATAGGGGTTTTGATCGGGGGAGGTGAGGTTGGGTGGAGCTTCGTTGACGGGAAAGGTGGTGGTGGGGATGAGTTTAAGGGTTGAAATGAAGATTTTTAAAGTTTTGGGTTTATTTCGAAATTTCTGTGTTTTATTTTTAAAAAATATATATATAATTTTATTTTTAAAATTTTATACAAAAAATTAAAATTGTCAGATTGTGACACGTGTCAGTTAAGGGGAGAAATTAACACCGTTGACAGCCTGAACACCTAAATGGATAACGTTTGTAACGTTAGGCACCTAGATGAACCGAAAAATATTATAGGCACCTATTTATGAAAATATGTATAGTTTGATGACTTATTTTATACTATAGCCTGTATTGTTCGTTGAGTGTGATGAGATGCGTTCCTAGAAAATTCTCAACACCTTTTCACACTCTTTTACTTTATCTTTGATGAAATATATCTAATTTTATTCATCTTCTTTTGTTTCCATAGAGATGTAATTGGAATTTCTCTTCATAATGTTTCAAGAAACTTTGGATAAAATTTCAAAACTTTGCCTCCTGAAACTGTTTTGACGGCCCGATTTTCTTTAAAAACCATATTTTTAAGTAAGAGTTTTGAAATTTTTATCAAAGTTTTAAAACTTTTATAAACATTGTGTTTAGAAGTTTCGATACTTTCACAGTAGTTTAGAAATTTTTCCATAGTTTTGAAACTTCATGTGCAGGTGGCCTTAATTGCATGTTTTTAAAGCTTTTAACTACTATAACTCATTCCAACGGTCATAAACGGTTAACAACTCATTCCATACGATAAAAACACTCCGACGACACTTGAAGAAGCTTACTACACATGTTCAAGCTTAGATATCAAGAGAAAAGAGTCTCCATTCTTATTTCCTTCGTTTTTCTATTGTACATAAGTATATAAACTTAATTGCATATCTTTTGTATCCATTCTTGTGAGTTTAATTTTTGTAAAAAGTCACCTAGAGAGGTCTTCTTGTTTACACAAGTTTCCCTTTGTTGAAAACGGGAGTGGTTCTAGTTTAGCCTTGAAAAACTAGAGAATTGTAAATATTACTCTTGAGCCTAGAAAAGCAAAGAACGAATTAGTGGATTTGTTAGAAAATCATTGGTGTGGAGTTAAGGTAGTGGACATCATCGTGTCAATTTTTCTATCTTTTATCGCTTCCATACCAAAATTTTTTAAGAATAATTCAACATCCTCTTGACGTAGTTCGATTGATCGATCGAGCCAAATAGTAAGTTACTATTGATCTTCTCAAACTGGAGTTGAAAGTATCAATCAGAAATCTCAGCGTTCATTTCAGCCGCCAATAAGTCTTTCGATAGCGCCAGTTACAACCACTTGTGACCCATCCATAGCATCCTCAAGAAACAACAAATCAATAGGAAGCCTATGCGCAGAAGAACTAGTTCCGTGACACCAACAAGATGCATGTGTGAGAGACCTGGAGCCTATGACATGATTAAACTCTTGTTGTGGACACAACTTTATGTGCATCACATGTGAGCTGCAAAAGAGCCTCTGAAGTTGTATGTTTTGAATAAATCAAATTTTTGCACCAAATTATAGCACTACATATAAAGTGAAAAGCCACCATATGAACTTCTTTTTCTTTCTCATTTCTGTCCTAATCATTGGATATAATTGGCACCATAATGCCTCGAAAAGAATAAGACGAAGAATAACAAATATAAGTTGTTACATGTTTCTTTGTTGGGTGGTCAGCACTTCCCTTAAATAGTTTGGTGACCTGATTGATAATAATTCAAAAATGGTGGTCAAAATGAAAAAGTCTATAGCTGGGTGCTCACTAGTGCAGTTTACCCTATTATATATTATAGTTAATGATAGAAATAAAAATAGACATGTGAAGACTTAAATTAAGCCAATTAAAAATATAATAACACTTAAATTGCTAAAAATCTAATATATTATTTATAATTACTTTAAGATTTTAATATTTTTAAATTAAATTTATTATTAATGATTATATATAGATATTTAAAACTAAATTAAAATTTAATTTAACATACCCGAACTCACGAGCATACTTTAAAATCAAAAGATAAATTTATAATTTGAATCTTAAATATTTTATCTTATGATTATAATTTGAATATTAAATTATTTTTTAATGATTTCATATATATATATATATATATATAACCATTAAAAAAATAAATATAAAGACAATAAATTTAGTTTTAAAACATTAAAAATCTTAAAACAATTATAAATAAACTATTAGATTTATTTTAGTGATTTATGTGTTGTCATATTTTCAATAAGTGTTTAAATCCAATTAAGTCAAATCAATTATAAATAAACTATTAGATTTAAGTGTTCAAATCATATTAAGTTATTTTAATTTTTTTCTACCTAAACTTGAATAAGTTATATAACATAGGTATTATTTTATGAATTAGTTCAGTGGTTAAGGCATGCACATGTTACTCTTGGGTGTTAAAAAACTTATTAAATTAATTAAATAAAAAACCCTCTAATCAGATTATAACACATGTCACAATTTGATTGGAGAAATAAATTTATTAAATTAAATTGAAATTAGGACCCAATTAAGAATTAAAGGTAATCTTGGTGATCAAATTGATTATTTTTAAAATCTAGGGGATTTAATATATAAGTTTAATATATGAAAAGAATACAAGATTTTAAAGTTGATGCTCAAATTAAGGCATTAGACAAATTAAAAAAAGAATCAAGTTCAAATTGCATTAAATTATCCAAGGAAACAAATCACATATATAAGTAGAGACCAAAATGGAAGAAAACAAAGCAGGGTTTCAACACCGCGAATACGTAACTTTACAAGGACACACACCTTAATTATACCAATTTTGTTAACTGCCACATATACCATTCCGTTAAATATTAACGACGAGTGGCTATATTGAAATCATTTAAATAGTTCAATGGTTGTATTGACACAAATTTCAAAATGGTTGTCATTTCGAGACCAAACTCATAGTTGGTGGTCAATTAGGTAGTTTACCCCAAATATAAAGGGCAAAATATAAAGGTGATAAAAAATAATATCGAGCAAGATCAGACCGAGGGTATATTTATACTTCAAATTTTTTGGCGAGTTTAAAATATTTACAATAATATTATTTTCGAAATGGATTGAGATTAAATGAAGTATGTAATATTTCAGGTTAAAATCGGAAATCAACCTCAATATATAAAGAATGGGGGTGGAATCTTATGTATTGTTCTTTGAGTGTGATGAGAAGCATTCCTACATGAAAATTCCCAGCACATTTTCACTCTCGTTTACACTATCTTTTGTTTCCCATAGCGATGTAATTGGAATTTCTCTTAATTACGTTTTAGGAAATAATTTATTCATAAAAAATAAATTTAAAGTTAAAAATTAAAATAAATTATACAGAATTTATGATGGACAATAGCGTGAAATAATTTAAATGCAATACAAATACACGTAATATATATGTAAAATAAATTTTTAGTATGCAAATTTTATATAAATTTATAATAATTTGAATTAACAAATTCTATACAAACCATTCCCAGTTCCATTTCCTTTTATTATCATTCTTAATAATATAATTATAAGGGATTATCATTTTTTTCTTTCTGGTTCTCAAGGCTTCATCTTGATTCATTTGGACCGATTCGAATCGCATATCTGATTTGGTAGGTGAGTCTTTCGGCGGGAATTTTTTACATTCACAAGAACTCGAACTTAATACCTACTTAAATGAAATCAAATTGTTTACCACTTAAACTAACTAAACATTATCACTTTTTCGCAAGGGTGAAATGATGATATAAAGTACATAACAAATTGAATAAGTTTAAGTCAATGTCACACATTTTTTGAGTGAAGACGATATTGGATATCTTCCTTGCATTCTTTAGTATTAAAATTTTTATATTAAACATTAATAAAAAAATAATATTAATTTTTAAAAATAAATTAATGTCTCACTCATATACTTTATAATATATATAATCAGCTACTTTAATACGTGCTAATAAAGAGAGAAAGTTATGAGATGCTTTCAATTAAAAATAAATAAATAAATAAAGAGATGAAGACTAAAGTTATGAACTGCTTTCAATTTAAGATGTTGATGCGTTCATCAACTCCAAACACAACCAGTTTCCGTAATTTACATTCATTTCTTCATACTGAATTGTTAAAATTCTTTGGTTTTCTGGCTTGATCTTTGATGGGGTACTGTCCAGGTTCAAAGGTGTTCGACAAAGCCATATTGGAAGATAGCCATAATGAGAACAACAACGAGAGGAAGAAGTCGATGATGATGATCAAAGGGACAGTGGTTTTGATGAAGAAGAATGTGTTGGATATGAACGATTTCACCGCTTCTTTACTAGACCGGGTTTACGAGCTCTTCGGCAGAGGCGTTTCTTTGCAGCTCATCAGCGCTGTTTCCGTCGATCCCGGTCAATTTTCTTTCCCCTGAAGCAATGTCCACTAAGTGTTTGTTTATACGTTTGATTCGTTTATAACATGATTTTGTTAATGAAGCAGCCAATGGGACGAAAGGGAAGCTCTGGAAGCCGGCAAATTTGGAGAAATGGGTCACGAAGATCACTCCGTTATCTACAGGAGACGTGACGTTTTCGGTCACATTCGAGTGGGACGAATCATCCATGGATGTTCCTGGAGCTTTCATAATAAAAAACAAACACCATAGCCAGTTCTATCTCAGGACCGTCACCCTGGAAGATGTTCCTGGCCATGGTCGGGTACATTTCGTTTGCAATTCTTGGATCTATCCGACGCATCGGTACAAATTCGATAGAGTTTTCTTCTCAAACAAGGTAACTTCGGCATCAAATCTAACTTGAGAACTTTGATTTGTTTAGCCGTTAAGAACTTTGATTTGTTTTGTTTAAGACCTGTCTTCCATGCCAAATGCCGGAGCCTTTACGTGAGTATAGAGAACAAGAGCTGGTAAATCTCAGGGGAGATGGAAAAGGAACGCTCCAAGAATGGGACAGAATTTATGATTATGATTTATACAATGACTTGGCAATGCCGGAAAAGGGCCCGCATCATCATCGTCCGGTTCTCGGAGGATCGTCACATCTTCCATATCCTAGAAGAGGAAGAACAGGTCGGAAACCACACAAACAAGGTAAGAACTGTTTTTTACAATAGCGTTCGTTACGTTGGCAACCATAGTAGTAAACATGACAACCGGAAATGCATCTTACAGATTCCAGGACGGAGAGTAGGCTGTTTCTTCTAAGCTTAAACATTTACGTTCCGCGAGATGAACGGTTTAACTCAGTGAAGTTTTCAGATTTCGTTGCCTATGCTCTGAAATCTCTGTTTCAGGTATTGGTACCCGAGATTGCAGCATTATGTGACAAAACCATCAATGAGTTTGATTCCTTTCAAGATGTACTTGATCTCTATGAAGGTGGCATAAAACTGCCTAGTGATGCCACTATTAAGAAGATAAGGGATTGCCTTCCTTGGGAGATGATCAGGGAACTCGTTCGTAATGACGGCGAGAGATTGATGAAGTTCCCGATGCCCGCCGTTATCAAAGGTATACAACGCTTCCCCCATCCTACATTTCTTTCTTTTGCATACGAAAAAGGTTACAGGCCGGAGATAAGAGAATACAGAGGATAGGTTTGTCTTGCAACTTATGCATGATGCCATGTGTGGTTACAGAGGATAGGTCTGCTTGGCGGTCGGATGAAGAGTTTGCACGAGAAACTCTCGCCGGTGTCAACCCGATTATCATCAGTCGGCTTGAAGTAAACATCTAACATTTCTTTTAGCTAGATTGCAAATATGTTCCGGTTTTATCTGATCTCGAAAGCTATTTATGATATGTAGGAATTCCCCCCGGCCAGCAAGCTTGATCCTAAAGAATATGGTAACCAGAAAAGTACCATTACAAGGGAACATATTGAGTGTAACATGAATGGACTCACTGTGGAAGAAGTATCATATCACACATCATCTGTTCTTGTTCGTTCGTAACGTGTTTTTTTTTCGGAATACTAATAGATTGAATTCGATTCAGGCTCTAAAGCACAACAAACTGTTTATATTGAACCATCATGATGCCTTCATGCCTTACCTGGGGAGGATAAATTCGACCGCCACGAAGACATACGCCGCGAGAACATTGTTCTTCCTGCAAGACGACGACACGCTTAAGCCACTAGCGATCGAGTTGAGCTTGCCGCATCCACAAGGGGACAGCCACGGTGCAGTCAGCAAAGTTTTCACCCCGGCGGAGGACAGTGTCGAAGGTTCGATATGGCAATTGGCCAAAGCTTATGCTGCCGTGAACGATTCAGGCTACCATCAGCTCGTTTCTCATTGGTATGAATGCAGAATTACTGGGGGGGGGGGAAACAGTGGCTCCATGTCGTTTAACAATTTTTTTTCTTGATTTGCAGGTTGAACAGCCATGCTGTGATTGAACCATTTATAATCGCTACTCATAGACAATTGAGCGTTGCTCATCCCATACATAAGCTTCTTCATCCCCATTTCCGTGACACGATGAACATAAATGCTTTGGCTCGTCAGACTCTAATCAATGCCGGTGGGGTGCTTGAGTTGACTGTCTTTCCTGGTAAATATTCCATGGAAATGTCGTCTGCTATGTATAAAAACTGGGTTTTCACTGACCAGGCTCTTCCTGTTGATCTGATTAAGAGGTAAGCAATATAATTTTATATGAAAATTTAAGTAATTTGATTTTGTATCTCATAAGGTTCACCCCTATTTTCAGAGGAATGGCGGTCCCGGACTCGAGCTGTCCTCATGGACTCAAACTCATGATAAACGATTACCCTTACGCCGTCGACGGTTTAGAAATCTGGTCCGCCATCGAAACATGGGTAACCGAGTACTGCAATTTCTACTACCCATCAAACGAAGCAGTCAAACACGACGCCGAACTCCAATCATGGTGGTCGGAGATCAAAAACGAAGGCCACGGCGACCTGAAAAACCAATCATGGTGGCCGGTTATGAACACGAGAGCCGACCTCATCCAAACATGCACCATCATCATCTGGATAGCCTCCGCTTTCCACGCGGCCGTCAACTTCGGCCAATACCCATACGCCGGTTATCTCCCGAACAGGCCGACAGTCAGCCGTAGTTTCATGCCGGAACAGGGCACCGACGAGTACGAAGAGCTTAAAGAAGACCCAGACTTGGCGTTTCTGAAAACGATCACCGCACAGTTCCAGACGGTGCTCGGCATTTCGCTTATAGAGGTGCTGTCACGGCATTCGACCGACGAAATATACCTCGGGCAAAGGGATACGGAGGAGTGGACGACGGACGAGGAACCGTTGGCGGCGTTTGACAGATTTGGGAAGGAGCTGGTGGAAATCGAAAGGAGGATTATGGAGAGGAACAATGATGGGGAATTGAAGAACAGAGTTGGGCCGGTGAAGATACCGTATATGTTGATGTACCCGAATACGTCAGATTATTCTAGGGAAGGTGGACTTACGGGGAAGGGTATCCCTAATAGTATATCCATTTGAAGGTCTTTCCATGGCTGGGAAGGATCCAATTTATGGTAATATAATTTGTACCTTTTGTTGTTGTTGTTATTTGTGTGTGTCCAGTAAATGCTTGATTGGTGGTGTAATTCATTGCTTCCATACAAATTTGTTGCTTAGTAAATAAAGGTAATGCTATAAAATTATGTTTAATCATGTCATGGTTGGACATTTTTCTCTTAAAAATAATAGGGTAAATTATGTGTTTAAGTATCTAAATTATCAATTCTGATCCATTTTAATATTTAATTTTTTTAAAATTATACTTAAAGTTTAGTTTTTATTTCATTTTAGTACTCCGTTAAAAATTAAGATTAAGTTTTGAAAAAATTAAAAATTTAGATACTAAATAGACCAAAAATGACAGTTTAGGTACTAAAAGTGTTAAGTTTTTAACGGTGGGGTATTAAAATAAAATGAAAAATAAACGTTACTTATGCTTTTCAAAAAACTGAAAGTTTAAGTACTAAAACAGAAAAAAAAATGATAGTTTAAGTACTAAATGCATAATCTACCAAAAATTATAAGATAATCCTTATTTTTATTTTGTGAAAAAACATACTTTCGAATACCGTTTGATTTTTCGATAATTAAACATATTTTTTCAAAACTCAACGGGTGGAAAGGTAGAGAAAGAGAAAACGAGTTGCATATCTTGATTTCATGGCGATCAAAATGGTAGATGATCATAATGATTTAGGTTTTTATGAGTTATGAGTTTAGGGTTGAGCTTTATAAATTTTAAAGTTATTTAAGTTAATTTTATACTGATAGAGTGATAGAAGACAATAAAACGAATTCTTTGATATCTTAAGTGATCGAAAAACATTAGAGAATATTAATTATAGCGTTTGTATAACGTATATTGAATGAAAATGTAAAATTTTCATCTAAGAAAAAAGAATATAAATAAATAAAAAGAAAAATAATGTAAATAACAGGCAAAACTTTCGAGATAATGTTCTGAAAGAAATTAATTCATGAGCTAATGCACTTCCGAGATTAATTGCTCAAATAGGGTGAAATCCACAGTATTGGTTGTAGGTCGCCATGCACTCCGGGCGACCTTGTAGGTCGCCATGCACTCCTGGCGACCTTCGCCATGCACTCTGGGCGACCTACCCTTGCTCAAACAGAGAGAATGAACGTGTTGCATGGCACATGCACGTCCCAACACATAGGTCGCCATGCCCTCCGGGCGACCTTGTAGGTCGCCATGCACTCCGGGAGACCTACTCTCGCTCGGCTTCCCTCAGATTCCCTCGCATAGCTCGCTCGGATGCCCTCGCATAGCTCGTTCGGATGGCCTCGGTCGGATGGCCTCATATGCACAGCGTGTTGGGACGTGCATGACACATGCAATCTCTTGTAGCTCGCCGGGAAGACATGGCGACCTAGTAGGTCCCCCGGAAGGCATGGCGACCTACGGCCAACACTGTAGATTTCACCTTATTTGAACAATTAATCTTGAGAGTGCTTTATCTCGTGAATTAATTTTTTCCAGAACATTATCTTGAAAGTTTTGTCTAAATAACATATAGATTTAATATCAATAAAAAAATAATTTACACCAACACACGTGACATATATTATCATTCATGATTTGACACTAATAATTGAAAAGAATATTAAAGCAATGTAGGGTTGGATTCGAAGAAGTTCGCCGGCCGGAGTTGAAAGCCGCTGTGAACCGACGACATCACCGGGAAATCTTCTTGATATGGGCTGTGGTGGATGCCTACGGTGTACCATACTACTATATCTTTGTTCTCTATCACTCTGTTCCTGCAACCACATATTAAAAACATGCAAATATTAATATAAATTTAAAAATATTTACTAAAAATAATTAAATCGAATTAATTTGGGTTATAAATAAACAAGACATATATTTACTACTTTTATAAAAATTGAATCTGTAACTCGAACGTAATTATAAACTACGATTCTTCTAATGTATGAAAATATATGCTACACATATGGTCACTAAACTATATAAATATGATTTATTGTTAAGTAAAAGTTTTAAAAATTACAAAATAATCATTAAAAATTTATCAAACTATTATAAAATAATAAATTTTGAGTGAAGTACATAAATGGTCCCTCCATTATAAGATAATATTTTATTAAGTCTCTCAACTATTAAAAGTTATAAAATGATCCTTTAACTATAGAATATTACTTTGTTAAGTCTCTCGACTATTAAAAGTTATAAAATAGTCACCAAACTATTTATTATGTTCCAAAATTATCTTTTTTGGTTAAAAAATTGGCAGTTGTCTAAGTTGGATATTAAAATTATGACTGAGATATGATAGCCGTTTGAGATTATGAAATCATATTTTATCATATCATAGTCAGTAGGTTAACGTTTAGCTCAGAATGCCGTCAAATTTTTAACGAAAAAATGCGAGTTTGAAACATAATGATTAGTCAGGTGACTATTTTGTAACTTTTAATAGTGGAGGGACTCAACAAAGCAACACTCCATAGTTTGAGGATCATTTTATATCTTTTAATAGTCGAGGGACTTAATAAAATAGTACCTAATAATCAGAGGATCATTTGTATACTTTACCCTAAATTTAATAAGTTTATAGACCATTTTGTGACAGTTCCATAAATTGTAATGGTCGTTTTGTAACTTTTGAAACTTTAATATTCAACATGATTATTTAAATATAGATTGCTGACTATTTGTGTACTCCTAGAATATTAAGAAAAAGGAGAGCAAAAATGTTACCTCTTGGTCCAAATGGCTAAGCCATCATCTCCACGGCTTCGATCGGCATATAAAACCCACCGGCCCATCTCTCCGACTTATTATAAGCCGTCACCCAAACCTGGTATTTGGTATAAGCCGCCCTAATTTGAGGATAATCATCGTCGGCTAACAGAGAAGTCAGCGGCTCACCGGGTATCAGCCGGTAACCCACTTGATTCCCGAGCTTTGTTTCCTTATTTGGGTTCACGATCAACAAGTCGGCCGGCTCTAAGCCGAGCCGGAACCGGGCATCGGCTTCGGTTTTGGCGGTCTCCTTCACAACCCTCCAATAGCTTTTTCTCGGAGAAGCGTTGAACCCCGTTACTCTTTCCGTTTTCTGTTTCGCCCTGACGAAGGAGTTGCCGTTACCGTCGACGTCGAGATCCAAGTAATACGTGAGGAAATGGTCGTGATTAACGGCGACGGTGTTGTCCGCTACTAACGTGCCGTACACATCCGCCGTTACCTGCTGCTTATTCGTGTAAGGACTGCCTTTCAACAATAAAATCCCCGTTAAATCCACCTGAGAAATTAAATTATATAAAGAGTTAACTCCACCCACTAGTCCCCAATGTATGACCCTCATCCTAAATTAATCTTTAAACTTTTAAATATTTTTATTTCATCCTCAAACGATCAATATACGTTAATCATGTCCCATGTGTTAATGAAACCATTCTAATATCAATATACGATTTGACATAAATGATAATTATTATTTGTAATGATTTTATAAATAAATTGATAGAACAAAACTAAAAAATAAAAAATCTTTCGTTTTCATTCTAAGTAATGATTTTTATAATAAGTAATATAGCATTAATTATCATTTGTGCCGCATCATATTCCTACATAATACATATTAGTGCCATGACAATCAATATATTTTTATTAATTATATTAACAGTGACATGATTAGTATATATCGGTGGTTTAGAGATAAAATTAGAATGTTTAAAAATCTATAAATTAATTTAAAACGAGAGTTATAGTTTAAGAATAAAATTAAAAAAAATAAAAAATTATAGACTAATTTAAGATAAAGATAACTTTTGTATAGATTATACTACTATGTATACTCATATCGCAATCGACCTAAAATAGAGATGATAATTTAACTTAAATTTGATGAGTTATGATCGGATATATTCAACTTAAAGTCAGATATTATTTAAGTTTAAGATAAAAAAATCTATGATTCTCGAGATAATGTTAGATTAAGGTTGAGTGTTACCCCAATTTTGATGGTGCCGCATTGCTTGAATTCCCAATCAAGTACGTAATCATAGTTCCCCACGGTAGCCACCATTCTAACCACCAAACTTCTTTCCGGTTGACCACTCCTTATCTACCAAACCACGACAATTCAATTTGAACCAACAGTAAATCCCACATACTCATTACGTATACCATTACGCATATGATAAAAAAAGATAAAATACACAAATAATCCCTCAATTATTCATTATATTTTAAACTCGTCTTTTTCTATTAGAAAATTGATGATATTATGAATTACACATTAACTTGCTGGCTGTGATATGATAAAATTTAATCCCAGAATGTGAAACAATTATCATATCTCAGTCATCATGTTATCGTCAATCTTATACAACTACAAATTCTTAATAGAAAATGACGAATTTAGAACATAATGAAAAGCCAAGTGATCGTTTTGTAATTTTTAATGGTTGAGTTACTTAATAAATAGTTCATTATAGTTGGGAGACCTTTTGTGTACTTTACCCTAGAAAAAAAACAAATAAAGTACCTTACCACAGTTCCAGGGTTATTGATTTCAGCATGTCTCCAACCAATATCACCAGACGACCTTTGAAATATACAGATAACCCTTTGCATTTTCATAGCCTGCCCATCCGCCCCCGCGACATACCCGTCCATGTATTCCGCATCCGCCGGACAGTCGATCGACGGCTGGAGCGTGCTTGCCGAACGTCCGAACCCGAACTCTCCGATATCCATGAATGTCCTGAAATACCACTCACTTTCTGGATCCATGTACGGAACAAAAGTTTCAGACACATGACCCCTATATAGAACCCGGCGGTACTTCTTCGTGTTCGGATCGAGAATCGAAGCCGTCGATATCACAGTCCCGGCCCTAGCATTGAACCCCACATGGAATTTCCAGTTCTCCCATTTCACATTGTTTCCTTCTATTTTGAACCCTTTTCCCTTCCTGTTATTGTTATTACATGTGACATGATCCGTGTTCGTCCTCGATCGAAAATCAGTTCCCTCGGCTTTAGGCAAAGGGACTCTGAATCTATCGACATAATTTGTGATTCGCATCGAATCGACGTCGACGAATATACTGATCCCTTCGATCGGCCTCGCGTAGACATTAACGGAGCCACCTCTATAGTAACATGTAAGCCTAAGAGCCCTTCTCGTCACCGTTTCGCCGTACCAACCAACAGTGAGAGGTACACACGAGACTTCGGACACATTTAAACCCTACCTGTAATCGATTTCACGAATTTGGGGTATTGAAAAGGCAATCTACTAACCATGACGAACTCGATAAAAGTGAACGGTGGGTACCCGTGACCGGTGTAGACATGGTTCGATATGATCGAACCGGCGACTAGGTCCACAACAAGTTCCCGAGTCTCCCCTCCGGCTCGAACCACCACCTTGGCTCGTCGAGAAACAGCGTTTTTTTCCTGTTTATCTGAAGATAACCAACTAAGGACATCGTTCTTGTCTGGTTCTTCGAGATCGACGACGTGATACGTCAAGTTCGGAAGAGAACCGATATTAGACTTATCGACAATGAGCGTTATCCGGTTCAATTCGGATGGGGTGAGAGGGTCTAAGGGATGATCATAAAGGCTAAGACTTAAACAACATTGTAATGAAAACGCTAGGATGAATAATGGAACAGTCATGGATTTATGTCCGAACAAAGACATTTGACCTTAGCTGTCGTGATCTAGGGCAACAACTGTTTTGAACTATATACAAGTGCTCAAAGGGCAGGGACTAGGTCCAACTGCTAAATTAACGTTGAAGTTCGCTTACCAATAAAGCATAATATATTCATTGCCAACACCCCCATGACAATCCAGAATCTCTATCTCGACTTGAATTCATTCGAATCAGATATTTATCAAACTTTGATCGAATGAATCTCGAATAGTTTCCCATATATCTCGCCCGATTGGAAAATTAGAATATTCATCTGAGATCTCTTAGAGTTCAAAACTGCGATTCTCCTTTGATTGTCTGTTACTCTTTGTACTAGTCTTCTTTAAACTTTACCGATAATCATTGTGTCGGTCACGTCACTTGCATGATGACATAATTGTGTAATATTCTAAAAGTGGATCACTAGTTTTTGGGGTTTTTTTTCTCTTTAAAGGTCTAATTCTCCTCCCAGCCCCTGTAACTTTGTATATTTGAAGATTAGTTTATGTTCTTTTAATTCTAGGAATTCGACCACACTAATCTTTTAATTTGATAAATATTTTTAAAATTTGGAAAACGCTACACAATCCAAATTAAAAGAAATCCTTTCGACGATGGACTTAAATTATTAAATCTAGAGAGTAAAGGACTAAGTATCTAACATGTGAAAAGTGTAGGGACAGGGAATAGGATTATACCTCTTTTAAAATAGTTCATAAATCCTTGTTTATAAACGGGGCGGTGCAATTTTCACATTGCAGAAACCTTCAAAGGTACTTTACTTGCAATAAAAGCAAGAACGATTTGACATTGCTTCTAGCTTTTAAAATGACCGTATAAATAATATAGTATTTTAGAAAACTTAAACATTCAATCTTTTAATTATATATAAATTCTTCAATCAATTTTCTCATAATATCTCAAACTTATATATATATATATATAATATTATATAATATCTTAATATATATATATATATATATGAAAGACGTGTTGTGCAGGCTGTGCTCTATAAATTCCAGGAGATGCTATGCTGGATATATATATATATTATAATAGTGGAAAAAGATATTATTAATGGAGTTTTAAAATAGTAAATGTAGTTCTCATGTTAATTAAAAAATTATATATATAGCAGCTAACATTCAAGCATTAGTGTGTTGAAAGAGGCAAAGTCGAACGAAGAAGATTTTTTGGGGAAATGGTCTGATATCTAGAAATAGAATCTTTTACGTTTTACCATAAGAAATGTAACTTTATAATATACATATACGGATCCAACTATATTTAGGGTTTTTTTTTATTAATCTTTTATAAGTACAAAGTAGTATATGTTTAAAGATAAATCGTTAACCTTTCGGTATTAAACGCTCACATCACTGTAATTTATAGTGCTCGAACCCGAATCTTCAAGGAATAACAACAATTCCTTTACCACAGAGTTCACTTAATTCGTGCAGCTATATTTAGGGTTGAATACGTCGACTTCTTAAATAAAGAGTATGTTTTATTTTCCTCTTCCTAAGCTATTTAATAGAAGGAAATGAAGATCATCCCATAAAAACTAGAGTGAAAATTGAGCAAAGAAAGTCATCCTTATTGATCGTTTATAGGGCATGTGTTCTTCAAGCTGAATCAACTTAATTGACAATTCTCGTGGCAATTAAGCCATTTCCAATTTAAACACTTCATTGTACTCCAAGCGCAAACACATATATTAAATAAACACCACATTATGACGTTTGAATAATATTAATAATAATTAGTTTGTGAATCATTAAGAAAATGATTAAGAAACTTATAAACATATATTATATTATAATCATACGGACGGTTTAAAAATAATTGTGTACAATTATTTAAATATCTAAAGCATTCTATATTTTTCATAATTAGGGATGGACTTAGGGACGATTAGGGGCAGGAGGGGATCTAGGCGTAGGTCATGGCCCCTTTTGCCCAAAAAAGGTAGATTACTTATTAAGTCACTCATTTATTATTTAGTTTCAATTTTGGTTTAACTATTATCTATTTTAAATCACACTTAATGTTATTTTGATTATGTTTTAGTGTCTCATCTTTTAAAAATAACGGTAATATTGATATATCATCATAAGATAATGTCATGTCATGATTGAAAATAATTAAAAAAAATGGCATGTTGGCATATTTGTTATTTTTTTTATCGGTAGGTGATCTATATATATATATATATATATATGATTTTTTAGATAAAATTTGTATTATGTTTAAATTGGACCAACTTATAATTTTTTTTGAATTCGCCACTAATTAGGGGTGATTGCTACCTTATAAATTTCAAATTATTATATATTTTATATTTTTCTTATATTTTGTTAATAATATACTTTTTGTTGCCTAAAACTCTATAAATTTGTCATACCCTAAAATTTTATAAATTCACCCCTTAACATAAAATCACGTGTTACTCCAAATTAACCACTTTTTTAAAAAATAAAGGGATAAAATCTTATATTGGAGTCTAACCTAACAATTGATCATTTTGATGGTCTTGTAGCTCAATGGTCAATCTAGAAAAAATTTGTAGGTCTGATCCATATAAACATAATAATTTTTTATCTAAAATAATTTATATATATATATATATATATATATATATATTAAAAATATAATAACAATTATATATACATATATATATATATAATTGGACCAATATATATTTTTAATATAATTCATACATATTTTTTGTTTAGGGTAAACTAAATATTTGGTCACCCCACATATTACTTAATTTATATTTTGGTCACTTAACTATTATTTTTTGCAAAATCATAGTTAATCTTACGATTTGGTTCTATTTTGATTACCTACCGTTAAAAAATTAAGAATGGTGTTAATATGATATTTTTTAATTATTTTCCAATCATGGCGTAGCATCATCTTATGATGATACGCCAATATCTCCATCAATTTAAAGAAAATTGACACAAACAAAACTAAAATGTAACATTAAGTATGAATTTAAAATAAATAATAATTGAGTGGTCAAAACAGAAACTAAATAATAAATGGGTAGCTGAATATATATAATTTATCCTTTTTAGACATAGAAGGCCATGGGCCATGGCCTAGGCCTAGATGCTCCCCTGTTACATCCTGAGAAGTGTCAATATATTTTATAATAGGTTTGTCGATTTTAATGTTATATTTTCTTAAGTAATTTGTTTCTAAAGATAAACATAAAATTTTACGTAAGATTTCAAAATTTTAAAAAGATGATATTAATTTTTTAAATAAGAAATTAATTATTAATAAAATATAAAAATTATTACAGGGTTGCAATGGAAAGCTGTTCATTGGGATTTCCAGGAAATATAGAGCCCAAACAGAAGTGTAAGGCCTAAACCTCACATTATTTCTCCAGCCTTCTATCAAATATCCATTACAGCCATGTTAACTAATTCGACTAAAAACTATATATTATGTTGATTTTAATGATTTTAAAAAAAAAATTATGTCTGTTTTATAATCTATATTGTAATTTCATGATTATTTCTTTGAATAATACCATTTTTAGGATATAATTCAAGTTTTGTTATTAAAATTATAATGTATTTTAACAAAATATCAATGCATAAATTTAACTACGTTTGAAATCTCATCATAATATATTAAAGGGTAAACTATGCCAAAAATCCCTTTTTTTTCGGTCAGATCGACTTTGATTAGAAGAATTTGACCGAAGATTGAAGCAAGAGCTAGAAGAATTCAAAGGACATACAACTCGAAACAAAAGAAGAGGACGACAAGAACAATCAAATCCCGAAGAATCCGACGCTACCTCCCACGAAGAACCGATGCACTCGACAAAATCATCACAAGCCGAATCGCACACCGTACCCGATGCCACACCTAACGCCGATGAAAATACGATTTAGTTTTATGTCGATTTAAGTATCGGATTTATTTCTATTGAATTTTATATTTAAGTTTAGATTGTGTTAGTTTAATACTAACAAATAGTTTGAATATTTTATGTTATTATATAACATCATCATGCCATGATAAATCTAGTAATTCAAGTACCTTGAAAAGGGAGGAAAAAGTGTGGGATCGAGAAGAATATTGTGGAGAAGGTTCAATAGAAAGGCAAATGTGAGTGCATTTAACTTGTATTTATGTTATCGAACAAACATTGACTTGCGATGAGTCAATGTCGGAGTTACGTTAAGAAGTGACTCCTAGTGTATGAGAAGTGTGATTCAAGCCTATATGTTTAATTGGTAAGCTAATAGAATTAGTGAATAAGTTAAGGATGCAAGTTGGTGAAATCTGCCTAGAAATTATGTTATGAACAATAAGTTTAGAAAATCACCATAAATTCTACAAAAATAATTTAAGGATGAATCTTATATCAGTCTAGTTTTTTAGAACAAATGGTAACTGATTTCGAATAGTATACAAAAGATATGAATTTTTAATCGGTGATAAGTCAGAAAACAGGGCAGCAGATTCTGCCCAAAACAACTTCTGTCAGTTAACTTTGAAAATTCATTTTAAATTGTACAATTGGAACTATACGAAGTGCTTTATATGGTTAGATTCGTATTCGAGTGTAGTTTTCAATGATATAAACATAATATTTTTTCAGTATATAGATTAATACAAAATAATATTTCTTTGAAGGTAGTGCAAATTGCCAGAATATGAAATTTTGATAATTGTGTAATTAAAGCAAAGGATTAAGCCTAAAGCTTGGTGAGGCTTATATTTTGATTTATAAGCAAAATGTAAATTGAGTGCAAAATTTTATTTGATTAATTTGATTGATGACAACTTGTGATAAGTCAACCTCGTATTATTTTAAAGTATGTTTTCTATTTTAAATATGAATTATTTATATAATGTTCGTATGACTGTTTTATGAATGTTTAGGGTATAAATTGCCCAAATTAGGTTTTTTTATGAGAATGATATAGGAAAAATGCTAATGATTGGGAACGTTGAATTATAAATGATATGAATTTAAAATAAAGCACATTGTATATTGCATTGAGAGTCGTATGAACAATTGGCATGCCATGAGGTGGAGTGATTGATATATTGTGGTGTTACTGGTGGGT